AACCTTTTTTGTTGTTATATACCTGGATGACTGAGAAAACAAACTTTACGTTGAGCCTCGCTACTTCGTCCCCAGTCAGATATTTTTCCGACGTAACGTTACCCGAGTTACAAGTCGTCATTTCCGACGTCATTGAGAAGCTAATAGTTGATAGCACGACTTGTTGGGTGAGTTTTACCACAGTCCATCACAGGGACACAGAGACAAACGAGACAAACATTCACTCTCTCACTCTCACCTAGGGACAATTTAGAGTTACCAATCAGCCTAACGTGCATGATTTTGGTCGATGGGAGGGTTACGGTTGAACCGGGGCGACCTGCTTGCTGAGAGGCGGCAGCTCTACCAACTGCCCATTCTGGAAACATAATATTTTTGCATCAAGTGGATTCTCACAGAGCGACTAGCTGAAAACTTGACATATAGTTGATGAAGCATCTTTCAGGTCTTTGATGGATTGTTTTATGTTTCCCAAAAGACAAGACTTTCCTCTAATGTTCCTCTGCTGTTGACAGTGGTTTTGGACCTGACACTTTTTTACTTCCATCATTTTTCAAACTGCACATTATGCTGTCATGGTCAGGTACAAGAACCAGACAGAAAAAGAAAAAAAAACAGCCAGAGTCCAAAGAGTTTACAGAAAAAAAAACTGGATGCTTTGAAGCAAAACACAAAGAATGGTTAAAAACTTTAGCCCAGTGCTGTACTTACTTAGAAGTGGTTTATTTGCCAGAAAAATATCCAGAGAAACAGAATAAACATTTGTTAAGTCTCATAAGAAGGTGCCAGTTTATATATTCTATATTTCTACATAAATTTGACCTAAAACATCATCAGACACAAGTCCTAAAAGTAGATAAAGGGAACCCATTTAAACAAATGAGATTAAAAAAAAAAATTATACTTGGTCATTTATTAAGGAAAATGATTAGAGAATTTTTGGTATGAATATTTTTATTATATTATGGCTGCTGGGGAAGACTCTCAGTCATCCAGGACATGATGAATTCAAAAAGCGTTCAACACAAAAACAACTGGACTTTATTTGTAACAGAAGACGTTTCGCTCCTCGTCCGAGGAGCTTTCTCATTTCAAAGAGCAGAGAGTGAGAGATACAGGTTATAAGGCTGAGTGAGATAAGACACACACACATATGTAGATTGGCAGGACCCAGCAGGACTCTCAGACAGAGACTGGTCCACCCTAAGGACAAAACACCCATACACAAACAGAGTGGTGTAGTGTATGCGGTCCAGTCCAGACCTCTACATTGGAGAAACTAAACAGCCTCTTCACAGACGCATGGCTCAACACTGGAGATCCAGCTCTTCAGGACAAGACTCAGCTGTTCACCTCCACCTCACAGATAAGGGACACTCTTTTGAGGACCAAAATGTGCACATTTTGGACCGAGAACACAGATGGTTTGAGAGGAGGGTGAAGGAAGCAATTTATGTAAAAAGAGAAAAGCCGTCTCTTAACAGAGGAGGAGGCCTCAGATTTCCACTTTCAAAAACATATAATGCAACTTTAAAACAGATTCCCAGCCGGTTTTCACACCTGATGGGAACAGAGGGGGCCTCGTCTGTGAATTAGAGGAACAAAGACCTTAAGAAACCCCTACTGTTAAGGTGTTTAGGTGTGAATACGTGTGTGTCTTATCTCACTCAGCCTTAGAACCTGAATCTCTCACTCAATGCTCTTTGAATTGAGAAAGCTCCTCGGACGAGGAGCGAAACGTCTTCTATTACAAATAAAGTCCAGTTGTTTTTGTATTGAACGCTTTTTGAATATATTATGGCTGAGAGCATCTTTCCCTCCTGCTCCTGTAATACAAATGCACAAAATCTCTTATCTCTGCTTGAAGGCCAGCTCACCAATGGCCTCACTGGCGTTGTCGCTATGAGAACATGCCCAAAACATTCTCTGGAGGCTGACTCACCAACGGCCATGGATCATGTCTATGAGTCTGACTGAAGCTGGCTATGTGGGAAGGCCTGCTGGACTCTACTGCAAAATCTGCAGCAAACTATTTGATGCTCATTCTGTGACATGTTCCATGCATTATGTATCTATGTACGTACGTAATCCGTCTTGAATGAGTCCTTGCAAGTAAAATGCCAGTTAAAAATCTGCCGTCGAGTGTGGATCTTTTGTGTAAGATTAAGAGAGAATATTTTTCTCCAACAATGACCCAATATTACATTGGTGTAATATTGGACATTACATTTATAAGTGGCAAAAGTATGTGAGCCTCTGGGATTAGCAGTTCATTTGAAGGTGAAAACAGAGTCGGGTGTTTTCAAGAACATGGATCTATCAAATTCTGCTCTTCACAACACGTTTGTGGAAGTGGATCATGGCACGAACAAAGGAGATTTCTGAGGACCTAAGAAAAAAAGTTGTTGATGCTCATCAGGATGGAAAATGTTACAAAACCATCTGTAAAGAGTGTGGACTCCACAAATCCACAGTCAGACAGATTGTGTACAAATGGAGGAAATTCAAGAGCATTGATTGTTACCCTCCCCAGGAGTGGTGGACCAACAAAGATCACTCCAAGAGCAAGGTGTGGAATAGTGAGCGAGGTCACAAAGGACCCCAGGGTCACTTCTAACTGAAGGCCTCTCTCACATTGGCTGATGTTCATGAGTCCACCATCAGGAGAACACTGAACAACAATGGTGTGCATGGCAGGGTTGCAAGGAGAAAGACACTGATCTCCAAAAAGAACATTCCTGCTCATCTGTAGTTTGCTAAAGATCACGTGGACAAGTCAGAAGGCTGTTGGAAGAATGTTTTGTGGATGAATGAGACCAAAGTAGAACTTTTTGATTTAAATGAAAAGTGTTTGGAGAGAAGAAAATACTGCATTCCTGCATAAGAACCTTATCCAAGCTGTGAAACATGGTGGTGGTAGTATCATGGTTTGGATCTGTTTTGGTGCATCTGGACCAGGATGAGTTGCATCACTGATGGAACAATAAATTCAGAATTATATCAGAGAATTCTAAAGGAAAATGTCAGGACATCTGTCCATGAACTGAATCTCAAAAGAAGGTGGGCCATGCAGCGAGACAATGACCCTCAGCACACAAGTCGTTCTACCAAAGAACGGTTCAAGAATAATAAAGTTCATGTTTTGGAATGGCCAAGTCAAAGTCCTGACCTTAAGCCAATCCAGATGTTGTGGAAGGACCTGAAGTGAGCGGTTAATGTGAGGAAACCCACCGATGAGTACGAATGAGCACAGCAACATGAAACAGATCAGCAGCAACATGAAACAGATCAGCAGCAACATGATGTGTTGTTTTTTTTTCTCACGTTGATTATCCTGGTTAGAGATTCATGAGTCTAAAAGCTTCAGGGTAGAAGCTGTTCCTCAGTCTAGTGGTTCTACACTTAATGCTCCTTAACCTCTTTCCTGAGGGGAGCGGGGCAAAAAGTGTGTGCTGGGTGAGTGGGGTCCTTCATGATGCAGGTGGCCCTCTTCCTGCATCTAGAGGTGTCTGTGATGGTGGTGACTCGGGAGGCTGACCCCAGTAATATGTAATATTGGATCATTTTCCTCAATAAATAAATGACCAAGTCTAATATTTTTGTCGCATTTGTTTAACTGGGTTCTCTTTATCTACTTTTAGGACTTGTGTTGAGGTCATAATTATGCAGAAATAGAAAAACTTAAAGGGTTCAGAAATTTTCAAGCACCACTGTTTGTATCTATATATCAATATTTTCAAGCCAGTCACGGCTTTTTAAATATATATA